TGGCAATTTGCTGGTAAATAGTAACTGCACGCTGAAGGTATGTTCGCTGTCAAGATTACAAATTTGGTAGAAATTTTCCCTAAAAACTGCTTTCCTCACGTTCATTCGACCTGATACTTTTGCATTTAGATGAGTGAAATTACTAGCTGCAGAAAATTACCAATGAAATTGTTTGAAAGTAGTACCTAAAATATCAAATTATCAGTTATTAACATTTTTTATTTGTTATATTAATTTAAAAATTTGCTAAATTAAAACTCAACGGTGTCGTTGCTTGATACATGTCAAGGACAGTTCGAACTGTTAGAGTCTTGTAAAAAATTTTTCTGTACTGGAAGAATGTTGAGATGGTAAACTATTAGATGGAAAAGTTGTCAGTTGCATAGCTGAAGGATTGCGTAGTAAATTAAAAAAATCACTCAACTTATTATTTTAAAGCTCATTTAAAATGGCTAATTCCATCGTGTGATAAAAGTGGCTACTTTAATTATGAAAATCAGTCAGTGGTTCCAGAGCTGAAATTAAAATTAGGCATTTAGACAAGTTATTCCGACAAAAAACCATTTCTGACAGTTACAATTGTTTTTTCAGATCTGCGATTTTGGACTAGCAAGGATGTTTGATCCGTATGATCAACAAGTAATCCTGACACAAGAGGCAAGTAATCCTGGGAAAACTTTAAAACAAAAAGAAATGATTTTTGCTTGAAATGCATAAGATTTTTTACGCAAAATTTTTTCTCACTGGCAACATTCATTTCTAAGAAAGTTTGAAATTATCGGGATATCTTGGAGCGGAATGATGGGACTTAGCAGTCCGGCTACATTGTAGTTTCCAAACCAAGGGTGCTGGCATTTTTAACGAGGAAGATATGGGTTGATAAATGCAATCTCATTTGCAGGTGGTGACCCAGTATTACCGTTCGCCCGAATTACTAATGGGTGCGCGGGAATATACATGGGCTGTCGATGTTTGGTCAGTGGGATGCATCTTTGCCGAATTGTTGGGCAGACGGATCCTCTTTCAAGCTCATGGTCCGGTCGAACAGGTTTATTGATATCGTTATTTGTTGGGAAGTAGAAAAACACGAAATGTCTGCAAAAAAAAAAAAATTGTTAAAATATACTGAAAGCAAAATGAAATGTGAAAAAATATATGATTAAATCGAGAAAAAAAAAA